ACACTCATATATATATATTTTTACCTTTTTTACCTTTTTTTATATATTTTACCTTCTCTAAACATCCATTGAAAGGAAGAAAAGCAAAGCGAAAGTTAAAAACTGTCTCTAGATCTAATTTAATATATATATATATAGATATATTTTACCTTTTTTTATATATTTTACCTTCTCTAAACATCCATTGAAAGGAAGAAAAGCAAAGCGAAAGTTAAAAACTGTCTCTAAAGCGTACAGATCTAATTTCCATCACTCGTCGCCTGTCAACTCGTCAATTTTCTTGAAATAGGGCTCAGCGTGTCACAAAACGCGAACGTAGCATGTTCGAGAGCTTATCTATTGACGACAATTCCTACAACGTGAGCTGCCGGTTTAGAGTCAGATTTCCGCGGCCAAATTTTTCCGACACATCTCTAAGGGACTCGATGATTCGCTGCGACAAAGAACAAGCCCATAGCAAGTTCTTTGCATTTGCATGGTCGAACTTGAAGAAACGTGCTCGGCTGATGTATACGTGAAACTTTTCAAAATGTATAGCATAAAGAGCTTTTCACGTTGACAATGCGACGCTGTCGACACAATGAGATCGATACATTGTGTTTAAAACGCCAAGGGGACGGATGTTGCATCATATATAAGTCGTGGCATTAAAATGTTTGTAGGGCTTCATGGAAAAATGGAACGAGGTGCGAAAGGTTGGTCGATTCACGGCGCGGTTAAACTGTATGATATAGATATAGGTAGAAGTTGTATATGTAGCCGTTAAATTCCTTTATAAATAGAATAATAAAAAATTACTCTTCTATTTTAACGAGATTAATAAAAACTCATTATTAATAAAAATATTAAAATAAACGAGAAAGAATGATATACGTTTTTACAGAATAAATTTATATGTAAAAAAAAATCTGTCTTAAGTTATCTGAAATTTTTTAAAAAAGAATATTATTATTAAAAAGGATATTATTCCATCGTTAGTGTACGCTATTTGAAACACTAATGACTGTGGAAAGATTAAAGAAATCTTTAAAAAAGACTTATATAACATAATTTAATTATAAAATAATTCAAGAGATGTGTAACATTATTTTTGAACTTATTTCTCTTTTTTAATTCAACCCTACTTTAATCTTACTTTATGAGAAACTCTCGATGATGCGAGATGATTTACAATCTGAATCGACTCAGAAAGATATACATCGAGCGATCTGTCGACGTATCTTTTATGAAACAAAACTGAGTCAAAGAAGACCGTATAAATCTTTTATATTCTAGTCACAAACAATAAACAATTTCTCAAACATATTTTTTAGCTGTGTGTATGACATTCAATATTTCGATATTATCGTAATTTTGTGTTATCTATAAATTTTTAGAAAAAATATGTAAAAAGAAACGGAACATACACCAAGCGCGCACACACATATACTCATACTCATACTCTAAAGACACACACACAGAAAATTCAGGATAATTCTCAGATTTTTGTCACATTCTATTTGTAAAAAAAAAACAAGCAAAAAATATTTAAGAGATTCTTTAAATCTCTTTTAGCTGTTATTTTCAATTTTTATATTTGGGATATTTTAAAAATGCTGTCTAATGCTCACGTACATATATACATGCCATAATTAAATCAATAATAAATTTCAACCAACAATTAAAACCACTCTCCCAGTATCTCCATATCCTTAATCAATTGATAAAAAGATAATCGGAAATGTATACTTCAATTATATATATTATAAAATTATCAATTTTCTTCGTGATTTGATGAAATCTTAAACAAAATTTTAAATAGAATTACTTTTCCAAGTTTGTTTAAGCCATCGGTGTTTCTAGTTTTATGACACACAATGTTCTAAATATGTTACATACCTAAATATATTACATACCTATTTATCATGCAGCGATGTTTCTCGTTTGCTTTTCTGCTCGGAAATTTGTCGAATGTGTGTACCTTTTAGAATTATATGCTCTGTTGTCGATCGGCCGAAGTCATCGTTGTCGTGTCGCATTCTGAAGGGTTGTATTCTTAAATACTGCTACGCCCTTTGGCAGCCTCCAGAGTAATGTAATCAATTTTCTTCGTGATTTGATGAAATCTTAAACAAAATTTTAAATAGAATTACTTTTCCAAGTTTGTTTAAGCCATCGGTGTTTCTAGTTTTATGACACACAATGTTCTAAATATGTTACATACCTAAATATATTACATACCTATTTATCATGCAGCGATGTTTCTCGTTTGCTTTTCTGCTCGGAAATTTGTCGAATGTGTGTACCTTTTAGAATTATATGCTTTGTTGTCGATCGGCCGAAGTCATCGTTGTCGTGTCGCATTCTTCTGTCGAAGGGTTGTATTCTTAAATACTGCTACGCCCTTTGGCAGCCTCCAGAGTAATGTAAACCCAAGAATAGGTTAATCAGTGAACACGGTCTTCACTGATAAACCGATTGAAGCCAGCCGGACAGGCAACCACAAATTCTTTTGATGATCCATAAATATTTGATGTGTCTGAAACGACAATGCCAATATATATAGATTCAAATCTAATGATTTATTCGAAAGATCTAATAATTTCTTTACACTTACGATTAAAAAGTTACGACAGCCGTTGAGATATTTTACTTTACTTAAAGTTAGCGTTCTAAAGTTAGCCTTTTAAAGTAGCACCAATTTTATATTCTAGGTTGTCTTATTATAATTATTATTAAACTCTAATTCAAATTTCTATATATTCAGTTTTGAGAAAGTAATGAAAATATAACAAACGGTATAATTTAATACATACTTTTATGCTGCAAAATGTTTCAATTTATTAGACGATTCATTGAAATATCTCGACAGTGATAATTTGAACCGCGCATTTACATTCTGTTGCTATAGTAACTATGTAACAACGGATTTTCCAATCTTCGGAAACGTTCGGCAATTTTCGACAGACGCATTTGATCACGTGATCATTACGTAATTGTGCTTATATTTATATGTGGTATATACATACAGAATGTGTAGAATTAACCTCGAATTTCGCATTTGAAATTGTTCGAAATACATCGAGTAACGATTTTCATAATATTGTGAATCTGTAGAACGTTTACGATACAAAAACATGATCGGCAAATTAATCTCCGGCATATATCGATCTTTGCCGTACGTAACATTTTATTTTTAGTTATGTTATAATGTGGGTTATATCATTTAATCTCATATATATTAATATAGCATAGATATAATGGTAGATTCTCGAGTAACAAAATATAATAAAATAATACATTAACGATAAATGTTGTTAACATATTTTCAGACACGTGGGAGCTTCGAATCAGCTTTCTTCAGCAGTGAGCGTGACACCTGTGCTATGGAATCCATGGAGTTTAACATTTGTTAGAAACAAAATGAGATATCACTTTCCCCATCCCAATGAACGTATGCGCATAAAAAAACATGGCTGGTTTGCAAGAATGGCGACACCATCCGGTAGAAAAATTCTCCAAAGAAGAATTTTAAAAGGCAAACATGTATTAAGTCATTAATCATTATAGTCATCCAATTATCTGAATGTATGAGAATGTATGTAAAGAAATAAATGCCTTCTTATCAATTCAAATTATAATTCTTTTTATTATGATACTTGGCAAAATTCATTAACATTATATATCAGTTTCATCATATATTACGCAGAAGCTATTTTTACCACATCTTCTATATCGTCATTGTTTAATTCGGGTATGTGCTTAAACATAAGTTGTTTGCAAGTCCAATCAAAAGGATGTATCAAAGGTGCTTCTAGTACTATATCCTTTTTCTGTTTGCCAAAAGAGGTCAAATATACATTTCTCAAGTGGATATGAGTTGGAATAATTTCTTGCTGACTTTGCTTTATATCCAGCAACTGCAGCAGTTGTTGATTTATTTTTGGCATATCCCAACAAGATTCAGCAAATGGATTGACTTTTATCCATGTACCCATGATTTCTTGAACTCGCGATCCATGATAATTATCTCCAAGAATCGGGCTATATAGCATAGTAGAAGCAAATAATCTAAGAGAATGCCATCTTTTTACAGATGCTTCCATTTCTATTAGAGAACTCAAATTGTGTGTCGAATTGGATATAATTTTATAATTTATATTTAATAATTGGACTTCATTCCTTTTTACTGCATTAATAGACCATTTTGTTAAGATAACAGGCTGAAATTCGTGAATAATTATTAATTTAATAGGCATTAATTAATTTGTATGTAATTAGAATGTGTGCACAGAGATAAATGTACCTTTTTGGCTCCTAATGAAGATTTTTGTAAGGTCATTCCCAAACGATATTTTCCTTTGATATCGTTTGGTACTCTGGTTGTGATTGCCCAATATTTTCTATATTTGCCCATTTGAAATCGTCTTCTTGCCTTCTCTATTTGCTGGCATGCATCGTCATTTATTCCAAAAACATAGAGACCAGTCATATATCTATAAA